GAAGATGCTCCAATGAGGCCCCAACAGGCAAACATCGTCCCACTCCCGAACGTACAAATTTAGCAGATTCGCCTCTTCGGCTTCCGCAGCGTCGAAGACGGACCCAAACGGCCCAAGAAGTCGGTCCAAAACGGCCCACGAGGCTCCCGAGACGGCCAACGAAGTCACTCAGACGGCCCATGAGGCCCCCAAGACGGCTGAAAATAACCCCCAAACGGCTTCAAGAGGGGGCCCAAAGGGCAGATCGAACGCACACTGTCAGCCTTCAGCCCCGCGAAATCCAACGAACAACCCAGAAAGGGCCCCAAAAGGCCGCCAAAACGCCCGAAAGCCGCCCCCAGGAGCTCCCCATGACGTTCAAAAACTATCCCCACGAGGCCCTTCAAAGGCCTCCCATGGAATCTCATCCGCCACCCGAGTGGCCTCTCACCCACAGCTCATGCACGGTGACGGTTGCGCCGAAGGCCAATCCATATTTGGAAAAAAATCCGCCTGACCAAAATATTCCTTCTCTTATCCTCTCCCTCCTCCCCCGCCTCCTCGTTCTGTTATTCTCTCTCTTTCTCTCTCACGTCATCCCACTCCCCATCCTCCTCCTCCTCCTCCTGCTCCTCCTTTTCCTCCTCCTCCTCCTCCTCCTCCTCCCTCTCCTCCTCCTTTTCCTCGACCTCCTCCTCCTCCTCCTTTTCCTCCTCCTCCTCCTTTTCCTCCTCCTTTTCCTCCTCCTCCTCCTCTCCTCCTCCTCCTCCTCCTCCTCCTTCCCCACCTCCTCCACCTGCTCCTCCTCCTCCTCCTCCTCCTCCTCCTCCTCCTCCTCCTTCCCCCCCCTCCTCCTCAGCATTCACATTGTACGAATCAGACTTCCCCCATCACGCTCTCTCCCCTTCCTCATCCCCCTCACCCTTTTCATTATCCTCCCTGTCCCACGTCACTGCCTTCCCCCTTCCTCATCTACATCCGCATTGTCATTATGATAATCCCCTTGCTCCCTCTTGCTCATCATCTGCATGCTTTGCATGTCAACACACCGCCCTTTGCGGCGCGCGCGACATGGTCAGCCCTCACGGGGAACGCCGAATTCGGCAATGTTCTGTTGCATGTCCCGCTGCACTGATACGCATGCCAATTGCGTGCCGTGAAACCCAAACCAGTGCAACATTCGCGCACAACGCGGATCTGTCTTCTTTTTTGGTGATGTTCAACGAGCGTGTTCTTCAAGTGTTCCGCGTCCGAGAAAGATCCCCCACGCGCCGCGCACTTCAGTTCGCACTCTGCCCGCTTTGCCACGTCGGCCATTCCTTGCGCAGCGATGCAACGCTTGCTACGATCCCCGCATACACTTTGTTTTGTTTGACGCCCGATGAGCTTTCACCTGGTTATGGCTCGAATGGCCCGCGTCTCAGACGGTCGCCCCGCATCCTGGCGCAGCCTCTCCCCCGCTGCATTGTGTTTGTTCTCTGTGCTTCTGACAGCACCGCCCGCTCTTCGAATAGCGCAGAACACTTGCCGTTCGAACATCGCACTGCGCCTACGCCCTCGTTCCATTTCGCGGTGCCACACCTCGACTTCTGCTGCGCTTTGGCATGCCCGCATTTGACACAATATGTTGTCCGATTATGCTTCAAATCCTCCGCGCCACCAACTTCCGTGTCCCCCCAGTCGCCCCCATGCCGCGTCCGCCCGTCACCCTCCCATTGCGATGTTTGCACGTTTTGTACTATTTCTCGCTCACGTGTTTCATCTCCGCCGTGCATTATTTTAAATAGGCCGGACTCTCCTTCCCCTGGAACTTGTACTTCGTGAGCGCCTTTGCCAGCAGCCTCCACCGGCACCGCTCGCACTGATCTCGCGGCATCAATTCCGCTCCCAACTCGTCCTGATCCACGCCCTCCCCTCGAAGCACCTGAAGCCGATTTTTCGTGCCGGCCATGTCGCCTTCGTTGTACGGCTACCCACCAAAGGCCGACAGATCAATAAGTCTTCGCGCCTGCGCACGCGCGTGATGGCAACGTAATTTGACATCCGACTTACGCGCCCTCCTTCGAAGTCCACTATGGGTGCGCCCAGTGTTCGTCCTTACGCGGCGTGTGCTGTCACTGCCAAAAATTGCGTGATCATGAACTGCGTGCGCTTGACTTTCAACGCTAGACGCCTTCGATACCCGTCCAAAAACCACTGGCGCCCTTTCGACGTGAAAGTTGGATACAGCCCTGGCTCCCAACGTGGGAGGTGCCAGTCCTGCGTGTGAAACACCACAATGCACCACAGCAGCCGCGCGCACCACAGCACCACGTCGCCTGTGTACTGCCTATGTACTCTGCAGCAGCCGCGTGCGCAACGACGCCTGTGTACACCACGGTGCCTGCGTGCACCAGAATGTTTGTGCACACCACTGCGCCTGTGTACACCACAACAAGCATGTGTACAACAGCGCCTGTGCACACCACGAAACCTCCGTGTTATTTACTAGCCTCCTGGAAGGGGGCAAAGGGGTTACCACATCATGACCCGAGGCATGTGCGCGGATGAAGGGACGGAGCGGGGGCGCACTGAAATAAGACGAGGCCATGCAATCGGGGAAATGTCATGGCCTTGGCCGTGATTAGAAGGAGAAACACTGCATAAACGTAAGCTTCTGCAACTCCGTGCAGATTTCGTGGATCTGCGTGGATACCCCCTCGCTGGCGCGAGCAGCGCGCCAGGGGCGGCGCCAGAAGCGCCTCCGGGAAGGGCTCAGCGCCGATGCGAAAAATCAGCGAGGATCTCTGAAAATTTACATTTATGCTGCATGAGCTCCTTCAATCCCACCAGCCCTTCAGGGCGTGAGGGGTTTAGCGAATGTCCGATTCCAGCCCTTCTTTTTTCCTTCAAGGGAAAGGTCTTATTTCTGTTCTGTATTAATACACACCCCTTCCCCCAGGCGACCGGCGGCTAACCAGGAACCATGATCACCCCCACACACCCATCCCTTTGACAAAAAAAATACCGTACCTCCACATTTGGAGCCTGCGTGGCCAACCCGATGCGGCCCCCCTCACCACCCCTGTCAAAAAAACATATAAAACATACTTGTAGACCAAATCTTGAGTTATGTTCGTGAGGCCCGCTTGTCTACCATCCCGTACAACAAACAACACAAAATTCAACTCGCGGCTAAATCTGGATAGTGCGCGGCCGCCCCGCGATCACTGTCAAATGGTTTTTGACAGGGACGGCGGGGGCTGTGCGCAGGCCCACCAGACACAATGATGGGCATTGGTTTTCGACTAGGATGGTGGGGGCCGACGTAATTCCCGATGTGTGCTGTCACGTGCGCACGCGCACCTGACACACTCTGTACGTGCCCCGAACGTGGCGCACCTGGCGCGGCTGGAGTACGCGGCACACGTGGCGCACGCGGAGGCGCACCTCGCCCCAGCGTCGCGCACATGGGGTCGGTTTTGGTTCCCAGTAGCTGTCCATCCAAAGACGACCGCTCAGGCACGGGTGTTACTTCTGCGTTGGGAGAGCGGGTGGGAGTGAGCTAGACGGCTTGCTATCTAGGAGGGTGTCTTGGCCCCTCCCCCTACCCCCTCCCTTGGACCTGGACGGGGCGCCCCGCGACCGAGCAGAGCAAGAGAGCTCCCAAGAGGCCCAAATCCTTCCAAACCTAAGAAAATCAATGCTGTCAGCTGTCTCGCCTTTTCGCTTCCGATGGGCTTCCGAAGCCTCAAGATGGCTCCAAGATGCCCAAGAAGGCACCAAGAGAAGCCCGACAGGGTCCCAAGACGGCCCCAAGAGCGTTCAAGAGCGTTCCAAAAGCACGCCAAGATGGCCCCAGGACGCAGTTGTAGAAAGTGTTGTGGGGCACCGGTACTGAAAGCCCACCTTCTTTCATCGATATCCTACGAGATGGCCTCAAAAAGGGCCTCCAGGGCTCCCAAGAGAGCCCCAAGAGGCCCCTAAGAGGTACCTAAACAACACCCAGATGCCTCAAGAAACACCACTCAACGGCACACACAACGCCCCGCCAAAAAGCAGCCAAGTCGGCCGAGGAGGCCAAGCATCCAAAAGGCCTCTGGCCTTCTGCTCGCCCTCCTCCTCCTCCTCCTCCTCCTCCTCCTGCTTCTCATCTGCCTGGTCCTCCTCCTTCTCCTTCTCCTCCTTCTCCCTCCCTCCCTCACGCCCAGACTCGGGGGGAGGGGTGCTCTGGAGTGTAGATGCCGACCCCCGCTTGCCAGTGTGAGGAGGCGTGTGAGTTGCTTGGCTGTCCCCCGTCCCCGTCCCCTGGGTGACGAAGCACTCCACGCAAGCTGGGCTCACGAACGACTTCATTTAGGCGGTCGGCGGATGTGGGAACAGACGGCAAAACTTTTGGCGCTCCGCGCGGATCTCTTGGATCTGCGCTGGAACCTCCTCCCTGTTGCGCGGGGGCGGCGGAGGAGGCGCCGCCAGGGGGCCCCAGCGCGGATCCAGAAATCCGCGCGGAGCGCCAAAAGTTTATGCTTATGGCGATTTTTCTTCTCCGACGTAAGCCTGTAGACTCATCCCGTCCCACAGCCCGCTCCGCCCTCCCCACGCACACCTCGACCAGAGGACGCCGCAGCGCCCACGCGAGCTGTGAGCAGCCCAGATCACCGATTGCGCACAATGTCGGCAGGAGTGACTGTAATTCAGGGGGTCGGCGGATGTGGCGTAAGCCTATAGAAGCATCCCGTCCCCACAGCCCGCTCCGCCCTCCCCACGCACACCTCGACCAGAGGACGCCACCGCCCACGCGAGCTGCGAGCAGCCCAGATATTGATTTGTCGCACGACACCTCGGGAGGAGAGTTCACCCACTCGTCGCGCGGACGGACCCCAAAAATCTTCGCAACAGCTGGAGAGGTGTAGCATTTCACGCGAACGCCTTCCGTGCGGTCGTGGTCCACAGAGACTCCCGAGGTGACAGAGGGGCTCACGAAAATTCCGCCGCGCGATCTCGCAATCCCGGTTCCGCGTCCTGCCTCCCCCCCCCCGAGCCTTGTCGTTGCCCAGGACGGTGCCGGTGAAGATGGTCTCCAGCCGCTTGGCAAAGCGCTCCTTCGAGATGCCCCAGATCTGGACCTCCTTCTCGCCCTCGCCGTCCTCTGGGACGCACAAAGACATACTAGTACTATATGTTCTCCTTGGAGGCGCGCGTCCGACCCAAACATATAGTATACCCGTCTTGTAGTATATCGTTTCCCGAGCGGTGTGGCCAGAAACCGCCCGCCACGACGCATATACTATAAGATTTCTCGGTGCGCGCATCGCCCCCAGGGGGGCGACGCACATATCGTATAAGTATGTTGGGGTGACGCCGATCCTCCTCCTCCATGTCGTGCATGTCCGCAAAGGAGTAGCTGGTCTTGAGCATGCGGGCGCAGACGCCCGTGAACTCCTTGCCGAAGTCCAGCGTCTGGTACAGGAAGCCGTTGTACACGTCCGAGAGACCTCCGAGCGAAGGATTGCAAAAAAAACCCGGATTGCAAAAAAACCAAGGATTGCAAAAAAAACCCGGGTTTTTTTTGCAATCCTTCGGGTTTTTTTGCAATCCTTCGGTTTTTTTTTGCAATCGTCCGAGAGGCCTCCGAGCATGAAGACCGCGAAGTAGAACACCAGCAGGAACGGGATGCGCATCCACGCCACCGCCAGGCAGGCGGCGTAGCTGACCTGGAACATCTGGATCCACTGGAACTTCCCTTTGGCGTGGAACTTGAAGCGGACGCCGTTGTAGGTTCTTGCGCGGACGCTCCCGTACCTCGGCTCAAAACTTGGCAAGCACGATCGTCGGCGCAACGACGACGTGGCCGAGCCAAGACCCCGATGGAGAATGCACATTTGTCATGGAAAGCGTTGACTGCCGACGGATGCCGCAATCCGTATTGAACCCTCGACTCGTCATGAACTGCCGTGTGTGGACCAACATCGATCGGTATCTGCGCGGAGTCCCAGGGGAAGAGCGACAGGAGGGGCATGGGAGGCACCGGGGAAGAGAGCCCCACCACGACATCCTGAGGACGTCCGCTGCAGCATCGGGGAGCACAACAGTGCACTCCCCCTTGCGCACCTCCCTCGCACTGCCCGTGCGCCCTCGTGTGCGCCAGAGCCCACCAGCACCCAGACACAACGTGCACGGGCGCGGGGCCCGCAAGGAGGGAGCGCCGCGGCTGGCGGCAGGTACGCCCCGTACGCCCCGGCAGCGGATGACGGAGGCAAGGAGCGTCCCTCACAACGGCATTCAAGCTGAGGGGAATTCGCGCACGCTTTTCCCCAACCCGCCTGCGTTGGGATTGCCGTTGTGGATAGAGCACTGGGTGCGGTCCTATCCATACCTGAATGAGACCTCACCGTCCCTTGGGGCTGCGAATTGCAAAACTGTCGCCGCTTTTGTGAGGTCCTGGGAAAGGGCAGAGTACATCGTGTTAGACCTCGCCGTCCCTGGGGGCTGCGAGCTGCGACACAGTCGCCTCTTTCGTAGGCTCATGGGCGGTCCAGCGCAGCGTGGTCCTATCCAGGCATGAATGATACGTCGCCGTCCATGGGATCTGCGAACTGCAATCATGTCGCCGGTTTCGCGAGCTCCCCGGGGGGGAGCCAGCGCAGTGCTGTTGTATGCATCGGCGGCCAACGAGGAGGAGAAGTGAGAAGGAGAAGGCCTCCTCAGAAGGCGACGGGGCTTCTCCGAAGCCCTCTGGCCCTCTGAGGAGCTTGCCATGCCTTCGGGGAAGGTTTAGAAACCTTCTCAGAAGGCGGGGGGGGGGGCTTCCGAGCCTTCTGAGAAGGCCCACCCCTTCTCGCTTCCCATGGAGGCTCGCCGCCGCGTCCCATACAGAGGAGGAGGAGGAGGAGGAGGAGGAGGAGGAGGAGGAGGAGGAGGAGGAGGAGGAGGAGGAGGGTGAGGAGGAGGAGGAGGAGGAGGAGGAGGAGGAGGGCCGTCGCCGCCCTCGTGGGCTCCCGGGTCCAGCGCTGTGCGCGGTCCTCCCGGGTCGGCCCTCGGGGGCCTTTGCTTCTCCGGGCTCTCTCGCCTCTCCCTTCCCTCGACACCTTGGTGCCCGGTTTTTTCCACGATCCTCTCCAGTCTTGTCGCAATCTCTCTGCGCTCCCCTCCCCCGCTCTCTCTCTCGACGCCCCCCTCCCCTCCCCTTCTACGCATCCCTCTGCGCTCTCCACGCATCTCGCTGCTCACACCTCGTGCCTCACTGTTCCACGTCCCTGGTCCTGTTCTTCCCTTCTCTCCCCTTCTCTGTCGCATCCTTCATCCTCTCCCCTTCTCTGGGTCGTTCGCGTGTGCCCATGGGTTGACGTCAACGCCATGGCCCCAGGTACCGCCCCATCCAACCTTGCCCCACGGATCGCGGGACGCCTACGCCCCACGCGTAGCTTTCTCACAACGAGCCGTTGTTTGCCTCGTATCATCTACCAGCCTGGAACATATCCCTATCCCTATGCTGGGCATCGCCTCATCACGATGCCGATCTTAGGGATCCCCTCATTTTTGCGGGCGCACCCCTAAGATTGTCATCGCTTTTTGGCGTGTCAATCTTAGGGGTAGGGATAAATTCGAGGCTGGTAAATCATGGTCCCTGCATTGTGGGCCATCGACTTGGCCGCTTGCTGCAAACGGGTCGGCGCAGGGCGATTTGTTTGGGGGGAGTGTGGGGGGCCTCTCTGCGAGCCGAGGCCGCGCGGCCTTCGCAGCGAGGGATGGGGGGGAGGCAAGGAGCCCGAGGTGCGGGCTAGGGGGAGGGGAGGGAGAGATGGTGGGGTGGATCGGAATGAAGGGGCCCTGGGGCACGCAAATAAATACACACAAATAAAAGGATTCCCCATATTTCCCCATATGTTCTGGGCTTTTGTCTTCCCCCCCACTTCCCATATTTTCCCATCTTTTCCTGGGGGTCGTCGATTAATTGTGTATGTGTTCTTTTGTCCCTCCTGACGGAAGCGGGGCGAGGGCTGGCAAGTCCGTGGCTGCTGAAACGATTGTCCCGGAAGGCGAAAGCAATTTCCCGGGGATAAGCTCAGCGCGCTAAGTAGTAAGCGGGCTGCTTCCCGGAACGAAAATAATTTCCCGGAGCTCCGTTTTAGCAGCCACGGGTTTGCCAGCCGTCGCCTGGCTTCCGAATGGAGGGAGAGGCAGGGACAGGAGGGCGGGAGGGGAGGAGGAGGAGGTAGGAGGGAGGAGCACACTCGAGAAGAACGACGCAGCAACGCCAACCTGGCCAATCGTGCAAAACTGAGTGCAGCACATGTCCAGTGCGGAGTTCACCTGGCGGGAGCTCCAAGTCTGCACTGCGCCAATTCTGATGGCGAGGGTTGGGTCTCCATAAGGCTTCACGACCTTATTGCCGATCTCCGCCGTAACGACCTGAGCTGTGCACGGGATCGTTTAAATCAACCCAGTGGCCCGCTGGCGCGCCGTGCCCTTTCCTCCATCTCAACATTCATCCCCTCCTCCTCCTCTGTTTCTTAATCCTCCTTCCATTTCGCTCCTCCTGATCCCCCCCCTCCCCCATCGCCTCCTGTCTCCTCCTCCTCCTCCTCCTCCTCCTCATTCACCCTTCCTGTTCCATTTTGGGTGGCCCAAGAGGGGGTCCAGCTGCAAGGGGGTGGTGCAGTAGATTTGGGGTAATCGTATTGCAAATGTATTGCGCCAGAGAATTGTATCGCATTGTATTGCAAGTCGTATTGCACGCCAATATCCTGCAATATATGCGCGCCCTGGAATCTATTGCACGCCCAACATGTAATGCAACCAAAAACCTATTGCACCAAATCTATTGCACCACCCCCTTGTCGCTGGAACCCCTTTTGGGTCAACCCGATCCATTCTCACTCACGTCCTCCTCCTCCTCCTCCTTTGGGATTCCTCCTCGTCGCTCATGCTCGTCCTTCAACCATGCATCCTCCACTCCCTCTCCCTCCCCCTCCTATTTCCCGTCCCTCCTCCTCCTCCTCCTCCTCCTCCTCCTCCGCCTCCTCCTCCTCCTCGCTTGCCTACGCCCCTCCTCCTCCTCCTCTTCCAACTCTGCCGCCCTTTTTCCTGCCTCCTTCCTCACCCTTCCTCCGCCTTTTCCATCCTCCGTCATACTACCACAACCATGCTCCTCCTTGCTCCCCCCCTTCCCCTTCTTCCTTCCTCCTCCTCCTCCTCCTCCTCCTCCTCCTCCTTCCTTCTTGCTCCACTTTCCCTTCCCATCCTTCCTCTTTGATCCTTCAGCACCGTTCCTCGTCATCCTAGTTGTTATTATCTTCGCACTCCTCATAACTTACTCCTCGTCCTCCTCCAGATTTTCCAAGTTACCCTCCTGACCCATTTGCGTTCTCTTTCAACTCCTTCTCCCGCGTCGTCGAATAACGCCCCGTCAGCATGCGTTCTTTATTTGTTCGTGCAATCTCGAACGGGCGAATGCGCGTGACCTAGCATTGCTGTGTTGTGAGATCTGCGCTGGTAGTGTACATGGTAATGAAACGAAACCCGCCGACCCTGCCGGATTGAGGGGATTTTCCTTCCGAGTCGTCGTCGCCGTCAAGCATTCATAGTCGTCTCTGTCGTCCTCTTTCCCTGCACTGTCCATTCCCTGTGCCCGTCGCCGCTCCTCTCCCCTCTCCGCTCTACTCCCTTTCCTGAGCAACGTCCTCATACACTCGAAAGGAAGCCCCTTCCCTTTGATCCTTCCCCCGCCGCGAAGGGGGAGGGTCCTGGGTCCGGACCCGGGTCTGGTGGGGTCCCGGGTCAGATACGCTTCCCCTCCGGGGGCCTCACGACTGGCTTAGAGTGCCCCAGAAGCTCCCGAAGACAGTCCACGAGGGCCCCGAATCGCCAAACGATCTGTCCAAGACGCCTGGACGGCCTCCAGACGGCCCAAGAATCCTGCAAGACTCTCAGAGTGGCCTCCAGGAGCAGTCCCAAGAATGCCACGATAACAAAAACCGTAGAGTGTCCCAAGGCTTTTGAATGACTTCGGCGTTCTCGCTCCTCCCGCTTGCCGACGCTCCAAGACGGCCCAAGCGGCCTCCCAGATCGCCCCCAGACAGCCCGAGAGGGCTCCACGAGCGACCCAAAACGGCCCAAGAGAGTCCAAGACGGCCCAAGACGCCTCCAAAAGGGCTCCAGAGGCCCCCAAGACGCTCCAAGGTGCCGAGACGACGGACCCAAACGGATATTTCGAGCCCTCAGCCCCGAGTGCTCCCAAGAGAAACCTAAAGGCCCCCCAAAGGCCCCCAAGAAGCCCCGAAGAGACCCCAAGATGCTCCTGAGAGGCCCCGGAGCAGCCCCAACAGACCCTCAAGAGGCTTGCAAGAGACCCCTGCACTGTCCCCCGAGGCCCTCAAGAGCGTTTCGATCAGACCCTAAGAAGCATTCCTGAGGACTCAGACCCACGTCAGCGTCGTCGTCGTCGTCGGCAGCACGACGGTGTATACACTAAAGTGGTTGCCACGCTGCCCTTTTGTCTTGGTGGCGACACACCACCCCCATCCTGGTAGATGGCGAATCCATGGCGACTCCTCCACCATCCAACTCCTCACCCCTCCTCCTCCTAATCATCATCCCTCCTCCATCATTTTCCCCTTCCCCTTCACCTCCTCCGTCCCCCTCTCCTCCTTCCTCCCATTCCTCAGCTTTTGAAGAGTTGCATCGTCGCTGTCTTCGCCGTCGTCTCCCTTCAAGGTCGGCGGCAACAGCCGTAAGGCCTTCGCAATCTGCGCTGGTAGTGTGCATGGTGATGACACGGTTAAGAACCGAGGTTTTTGTTGGCGTTTGATTGCAGCGAGTTCGTTCGAGCGGTTGGCACATCTGTGTGACCATGTATGCGTGCACATAATGACCCCACATGCCGTGTGTCATGGCACTCGCACGTCGTCAACAATGGTTTCGCCGATGAACTAGCGCATATTCGGAACTACGTGTTGCTACCATGGCACGCGCCTCACGCCACATAATGCGTTTAGCCAGGACCCGAGCCTTGAGGGCTCATGCTGCAGTTGCTTGCAAATTCACTCTCGGGGCAGCGTCACCGACAAAACTAATACCTCTGGAAGCACACGAGTTCCCGGTCCTCCTCCACGTAATCCTCCCTCTGTCTCCTGATCGTCTTCATCCTCGTCCCTTATTCTCCGCGAAATCCTCCTACATCCTCAAATTGGAGCCCGCAAGGGGTGGGTCAACAGAGGCATCTTTTGGAAACTGGCCCCGGCTTGCTCCTCCCGCGGCAGAGAATCTCGCCAAAGGAAGGAAAGAGGGAGGGCAGGCGATCGAAGTGAGGGGGAAGCGGTTGAAGAAGAGGAAGAAAAGAAACAGAAGACTCATGATCAGACTGATCAGACAAAGATGGATGACGAAGCCTGAGGGCTGTCTTTCTACATGCACGGGGCATGCATAGCTCCTTCGCCCTCCAGGAAAAAGGGGGGAGGAACTCAGCAAAGGAGGTCACTCTCCACATAGTCTTCCTCCTATTGCTACTGCTATTGCTACTGCTACTACAACTGCTACTGCTACTGCTACTACATCATCAGTCTCCTCCTCCTCCTCTTTCTCCTCCTCCTCCTCCTTCTCCCTCCTCCTCCTCCTCCTCCTCCTCCTCCTCCTCCTCCTCCTCATCCTACCTTTCCTTCACCAGTTCTGCTCATGAGTGCAGCCTCTCTGTCGCATCCCCAGGCGTGCCAATAGGGCGGACCGGACGTTTCGCCTGACACTCCCTCACCATCTCCCATCCAGAAACCTGAAAGTTCAGACACGTTTCCTGATGGAGGGCTGGTCGTTTTCAAAACGTGGCTCTCGCCCCAAAGGCCGCGCACATGCGTCTGACAGGTTTGCAGCACTCTCAATCAGCTAGGGCGAAGTAGCATGGCAATCGCCGCAGCGCCGCGCACATTCATCAGAGAAGCTTGAAGCATTTTCAAGGGCGGGGAGCTGTTCCTTTCCGACGTGTGGCTCTCGCTCCGGCGCCGCGCTCAGCCGTATTGGCCGTTCGTGGCAGTTCCACGGGGCTCGTTGAAAAAAATAATCGGGAGTGGTGTCCCTGCACGATTTACGGCTGTCAGGGCGCAACCGTATCTCGTTGGACCGAGAGGCTGCAGTCCCCGGAACATTGTCCTGGCACGATCTTTCGGACCGTCTCAGCCGACTGTCTTCAACTGGGGCACTCCCCGCAATGGCAACACAGTCTTGTAGGTACCCGTGAAGAGGGAACCTGGAAGGCGGGTTCGTTCACGGCAGCATCGTTGACGAATCTTGGATTCACGCTGGTCCTCCTCCTCACCCTCCCTCTCCATCCGCCTCCATCCTTCCCTCATGCTCTTCACCTTTCACCTCCCGATGCTCCTGCCGCCTCCTCCAGCTCCTCTCCGACTTTCCCATCCTCAACCTCCCCACGCCTCCTGCTCCTCCCCCACCCCTCCCTCCCTCCGCGTCTCCCCGTCTCTCCTCCTGCTCCTCCCCCTGCCACCTGCCTCCCTCCCTACGCTTGGCCTGGTGTCGCCACTCCAGTACTTCCTGCCTCATCCGTCTTGGGCCTTTCTGTCCGCCCTCCTGCTGCAAGACACTTTGACGGCAGAAGAGAAGCCCGCCGACGATGTCGATGCCGGTCACGCGCACAGCTGGCCTGGGGGGCCGAGGTGCGGTCTCCCTGCTCTTGCGCTCAGACTCACCTCGTCCTGCTCCTCGTCCTCGTCCTCGTCCTCCTCCTCCTCCTCCTCTCCTCCTCCTCCTCGCCAGTCCTCCTCGTCCCACACCTCGACCTCGTCCTTGCCCTCGTCCTCCTCCTCCTGCTCCTCCTCGCACCCGTCCGCCTCCAACACAAGGCAGGCAGCCTGCTGCACTGCACGAGTGCGGTCCGCGGCCCCGCGCAGCACTGCCAGAGGCAGCACCTCTGTGGCCTCGGGCTCCGCCCAGAGCCCCGCCGGGCCTGCCCGCGACGCTCGATGGAGGGAAGACCCGAGGCGCTGCTCGCCCTCTTTGAGCTCCCAGAGGCCTCCGAGGCCCCCGCGTGGGCCTCCCCGGGCGCGGACATGAACGTTCGGACCAGGAGGAGGAGGAGGAGGAGGAGGAGGAGGAGGAGGAGGAGGAGGAGGAGGAGGAGGAGGAGGAGGAGGAGGAGGAGGGGGCGGGAGGGCCATCGAGGAATGGACCAGTCCTGCGGGGCACCTGCTGGCGAACCACGGCGACCAGCGGGGGGCCACGGCGGTTCCGCCGAGGCCCAGGGAGGAGTGCAGCATCTGTGTGGAATACTCCTGCTCCCTGTCCTCTCATTTCTTCTCCTCCTCCTCCTCCTCCTTCTCCTCCTCCTCCTCCTCCACTTCCTCCTCATCCTGGTCTCCCTCCCTCCCTCCCTCCCTCCCTCCCTCCATCTACCCCTCCCTCCTTCCCTCCCTCCCCCTCCTCCTGCTCTTCCTCCACATCCCCCTCACCCTGCTTTTCCTCTCTCATACGTCCGCATGCTCCTCCGTCCACCTCATCGTGGCATGGCACTGGCACTAGTGGCTGACTCTTTACCCTCAGCATCATGCATTACGCACACACACACACACCCCTATCACCCCATGATCACCAACGCGGGCCAGATCAAAGACCCCCCCAATTCGGTCCTAGGGGCTCCAAATGTCGAAAGCTCCACAGACAAACGCATCCTGGTTGGGGAGGATCGAGGCATGAAAGCAACCGCGGCAGCAGCAGCAGCGGCAGCAAGGACTCGACTAATCGCACTGCACATGACTGTATCGCCACCATCATGTATGCATGCGTTCCACAAGTGGGACGGCAAGATGGATGATGATAAATTGAGGATGCGTCCGCACACCTGTATATGGCATGATGTGACACGCGTCTGCCAGGGCAGCGAATCAAGCGAGGGCCTCTTCCTCCTCCTCGTCCTCCCTCAATTATCTTCTCCTTCTCGGCGTAATGCGCCAGCATCCTTCCCCTTGGGCATCCTTCCCTCCTCCCCCCTCCCATGTCCTTCCCTCCTGCGTTTGGCAAGCCCGCCATGGCAACCGACAACACCGGTGGCGATGCCCGACAACGAACGTTGCCCAGAACGCAACACAGAATGCCGCTGTTTGGCGGGCGACGGCTGCCTCAGCCAGTTCAACGTCCACGGCGACATTGCCGCGAAAGTCCTCTTCAAGATGGACTGGACCTGCTGTTTACGGGTCCTCGCCCCGATTCCCCGTTCCGATCGTACAGGTCCCTAGGCTGAAAACTGGGAAACGTATCCGTGGCACCTTTGGGTTTGAAACGCCGGAGGTCTGGGTCACACCGCCTCCTCCCCCTCGCCCCTGCCCCTCCCCCCGCTCCCATTCTCTATCTGCCTCACACGTCCTCCTCTTCTCCCCACCTCTCCACCCCACATTTCCCCCCCTCTCCCCCCTCCCCCCCTCTCCCCTCCTCCTCCCCCCTCCTCCTCTACCCTCTCCCCCCCCCCCTCGCCGTCCTCGTCGTCGCTTCGTCGCCCCAAGACCTCGCCCGACCTGATGCTGGTCGCCTCGTGGTCCCCTGGAACTCTCTCCCTCGAACTGTGGGGCCCGCAGCTCATCGAGGGAACCCGGGGCCCGAGATGGGCCTCGAGAGGCCCACGTCTGAAGACGACAACTGGCCGTCTGCATTCGTTCGTGACGACGGGGGTCTGGGTCCTCCCTGGGCATGCGAGGCAGGGGGGGCCCGGTGGAGACGGGTCCTGGACCCCGAATGGGCCCAGGGCGGCCTCCAGGATGGCCCCCCAACACGAGCAATAGGGCCCCAAGAGTGCCCACGCTGGCCAAAAAATATCGACTCCAAGACGGTCCCGAGAAGCTCCCAAGACCGCCACGAGGGTCCAAGAGTGTCCAAGACGGCTCAAGGAGCGCCCACCAAGCCCCCAAGACGGCCCAAGAGGCCTCCAAGAGGTCCTCGTGGAAGGCTCGAAGAGGCCCAAATCCATGACGTTCCTTGGGTGTTTGAAGGATTTTGATTGCACCGAGATCGTCAAAGATGCCTCCACGATGGCCCTAGGACGGCCCAAGAGGCTCCCAAGACGGCCCCCCAAGGGCCCCAGAACGGCCTCAGAGGCCTCCAAGAAGACCCCAAGATGGCCTTCATGACGGCCCTCAAGCGATCCGAGAAGGCTCCAAGACGGCCTCGAGAGGCTCCCAAGCCAGCTTCCGACGGCGTTAGACGGGCTAGGAACGCCGTAAGACGGCCAAAGGGGCCCCGAAGAAGCCCTTGAAAGTCCCCAAGAGGAGAAGGCCCCCAAGAGGCCCCCAGGAAGCTCCCAGGAGGTCCAAGAATGACCCCAGAAGCCCCCAAGAGGGATCATCATCCTTTTTCTGATCCTCAGTTTTTCTCCCTCTCCTCATCATCCTCTTCCTCTAAATCGTGTTCCCCGAAGGGCGTCCACAACGGCTGGGGGAACGCATAGTCCGATAGCGTGGCCAAAATTTGCCCAACAAGATGCATCCAAGGCAGCCACCAAGATGGCCCAAGATGGCTCTCATAGAATCAACCGGCCCCAAGAGGCCTTCAGAATTATTTGCTTCTTTTCGGCCGCTCAGGGGGCCCCAGGATCGCCCAAGAGGCCTCCAAGACGGCCCCTACGGCGGCCCGAGGGGACACCAAAACGCCCTCAAGAGGACCCCAAGAGGCATCCGAGACGGCCCTGGAGCGCCCCGAAATGGCCCCAAGTCCGTTCATGAGGTCCCCTAGACGGCTTCCGACGGCGTCAGACGGGCCAGCAACGCCCTATGACGAGAGACCCCCAAAGAAGCCCCTGAAGGCCCCCAAGAGGCCCAAGGAGGCCACCAAGAGGCCTCCAAGAGGCTCCCAGAAGCTCCCAGGAGGCCCCACGAGTGCCCCAGAGGCTTCTAACAGGCTTCCTCCTCCTCTGAAGCTCTCCCTCTTTCTCCTCCACGAGCTCCCCCGAGCTTTTTCCGGAACGGCTCGGGGAACACATGGCCCGATAGCTTGGCCAAACTCTGGACACAAAGCTCGGCTACACCTGCGGCCACGAGGTCGGGAGGCGGCGGTGGTTCGCCGTAGGTGTCTTCGATGTGTAACAGAATAACCTCGACCCGCCATATGTTGCTCCCATCGCACCTACGGACGGCATCCCAGAAATAATTTCGAGCACCCAGAAAAAAGTATCGACACAGTGTCGAACGAGCGTCGCCTCCCAGGGCCCGACACGTGAACATCGTCCAGTTTCGGCACACTCTTGGTGCTCGAAATACTTCTGATGATCAAGGCGAAAGTGGGTTAGAACATCCTCTCGGGGGCGGCCAAGAAGGGGGCGTCCAAGAGGGGGGGCGCAGTTATGGCCAGCGGCATGTGCGCGGACCAGGGGGGGGGGGAGACACGCATTGAAATAAGAAGAGGCACCACGGGATCTGGGAAGACATCATGGCCCACGCCATGAGATCCCCCCCCCTAGCCATCACCCCCCTCCTGGCCGCTCTCGAAAGGGATGGGGGGGGAGGGGGGACCCAGAGATCCGATGTCGTGTTTTTTTCAATACGGGGTCCCTGGAAGTCTCGACCCCTTCCCCAGGACCGGTTTTCCCTCCCGAGTCGTCTTTTGACGGTCCCGTTGCCCGGCGAGGGCCCCCAGAGGCCGAAAACAGCGAACACCCTCCGAGAGGTAGGAGGAGGAGGAGGAGGAGGAGGAGGAGGAGGAGGAGGAGGAGGAGGAGGAGGAGGAGGAGGAGGAGGTCTTGATTTTCTCAATGTGTTGGATCTCTGGGAGCGAAGCGCTCAGACCCGATCAGAAAGGACCCCGCCCTCGCCGCCCCCGCCGGGCGCCTCTCGGTCGTCCCGGGCGCCGTGCTGCTGGGGAGCTCCGACGCGCGCGAGGTCGAGGCCCGGGCGTCGAGGCCGGCGCTGTCGAAGCCGGCGGCCACCAGGGCCTCGCCGCCGACGGGGGGGTGGCGACGAAGACGACGACGACGACGACGACGACGAGGAGGAGGAGGAGGAGGAGGAGGAGGAGGAGGAGGACGGGACGGAGGAGGGAGGAGGAATGAGGGAGGAGGAGGAGGAAGGAGGAGGAGGAGGATGAGGAGGACGGAGGAGGAGAGAGGAGAGGAGGAGGATAGGGAGAGGAGGAGGGGAGGAGAGGAGGAAGGAGGGAGGAGGAGAGGAGGAGGAGAGGAGGAGGAGGAGGAGGAGATAGAGGAGGAACAGGAGGAGAGGAGATAGAGGAGGAGGAGGCGAGCCGCCAGACCTGGGCCGAGAGGCTTGGATGCTGGGCAGACTTTCCATGCCCACAACCATGGGTCGGAGAGGGAGGAGGAGGAGGAGGAGGAGGAGGAGGAGAGGAGGAGGAGGAGGAGGGAGGAGGAGGAGGGAGGAGGAGGAGGAGGAGGAGGAGGAGGAGGAGGGAGGAGGAGGAGGGTGAGGAGGAATGAGGAGGAGGAGGAATGAGGAGGAGGATGAGGAGGAGGAGGAGGAGGAGAGAGGAATAAGGAGGAGGAGGAGGAGGAGGAGGAGGAGGATGAGGAGGAATGAGGAAGGAGAAGGAGGAGGAGGACCCCGACGAAGACGGTCCTTCTCCTCCTCCTCCTGGAGGACATGCTGGAGCCTCGACCCCAGACGACCCCGACGAAGACGGCCCCAGACGCCGCGAGGCTGGCGCCGTCGAGGCCGGCCGGCCGCCGGGGCCGCCGCCGCCGGGCGGGGGGGGGCGGCGGAGAGGACGCCAGGCGTGCTGGCGCTGCGACCCCGGACGTACGGCAGAGGGAAACAATTAGAGAGCACCCCCCCTGCCCCCCAAACTCAAGGCTGGCACGCGCGGGGGAGACTGCGGTCGAGGTGCAAATCATCAGACTCACCGCCAACTTTGCACATTGGGGGGAGGGGGAGGCGTTCACAGATGAATGTGGCATGAGTGTTCGCTATTTTTTTCCGAGGCCTGTAGGTCGGGCATGTCCTCTTGCAGGCGGACTTTGAGCGAAACCTGAAAACTACTGAAGCAGCCCTGACCTTCCAGGAGGGCTGCAAAAATATAGTACCGGACTTACGAACCTAATTACCCGAAAGCTATTATACGTCTTGGCTTTGGGATGTTTCGGTTCGTTTTTTAGGTTTTTAAGCCTCCAGTGCTAGAAAATAGCTCTCTGGAAGGTCAGGGAGTACCCCAAAATAGTTGAACAACTATTCTTGGACTACTTTTGGATATTGCTCCTGTCGAAAGACAGGCCCGACTTAACCCCAGACGACCCCGACCCCAGACGATGCGAGACGAACAAAATCATTACACCGGAAAAACAACCCCATCGATAAAGAGATCGATAAGGACATCGACTGGGAACCCGGGAACCCACCGAAGTCGGCCCGGAACCAATGCCAATGACCAGGAATGCGGGAACGAGAACCCGGCAGCGGGGACCCGGGAGCCCAACCGGCCACCAAAATCGGCGGGAAACTTTCGCCAAATCTTTCAACTCCTTTTAGCCAGGGCCCCCTCAGTGCATAAGCACCGACTGGGGAAAGGTGCGCGGCTCGTGGCAGCGTTCTGCCTCCGCGTGGTCCCCCCGCTGGGCCTCGCGGGGCCGTCCAGTCCAAACACACGGCTCGGGGTGAGAGAAGCCAGCCCTGGAGAAAGGGCTGGGACCTCTGGGGCCCTCGGGGGGGGGGCGGCGGAAAAGACTGCAGCTGCTCATGATAGGAGGAGGCCCCTCCTGGGAAGTCTGACAAAGGAACCGAACTCTATACACCGGCGCTTTTTCCAGCCCCGCACTGGAACTCGCACAGGAAAGCGGATCCTGGTGTATACGGGATACTGGTGTACACATGTTTCGTTGCTTCCACGGGAAAACTGGGGAAAAAGTATACACCACACCACCCCGACGTCCTCCCCGACGCTCGAAGAAGTCTTGGGGGTGAAAAACCGCCCGCCACTGGTAGTGTAGATGCTCCAGCTTCTGACTGAGAGCAACAGCGGCTATGAGTGCTACCAAAGCCGAGAAGAATCAGGGGTCTACTGGGCCAGACGAGGTCGGGTTGAGCCTGGGATCGTGCCTGGTGCATCGGGATCGAGCAGGGTTCAAGCGGACTTCACCAGGAACGCGCCAGATTGGGCCCGTTGTCGGCCACGGATATACAGTAGGGGCCCGACCGCAAGAAACCTGCCACAATAAGCCCAACCCTGGGAACCCAGGACGTCCATGGATTTTCGGTGTGGGAACGTCACGCTGTCCCCAGCAACACCATCGAAACCCAAGAAACCAAGGGCACCATGGAAGCAAGCAGGGTCTCCGCTGTAAGCGGGATAGTCAAGGACTATACCATGTTAGGCCCGTTTTCGACCACGGATATATCAGCGCTGATGCTGAATTTAACCTCCCAGGAGCTGCATCGTAAGGGGTAGGGGGGGGGCGACGACGATGATTGCAATTTCGGATGCCTTCGAGGGCCATCCGGAGAAGATTTCGTCTTCGTCGACGTTCAACGCCCGAGGTTCGGAAGAGCATGTTCAGTGTTCGGCCACTGGGGCCCCTTTCGGGCCCTAGTGTGACCGTCGAACATGCATCTGAAGGGAACGCCTGCTCAGGGTGGACCCGAGGAGGGGTCCGGGAGCCGTCCTTGAGCCGAGCTTGGCCAAGGCCCCATCCCACGGCGGCTTCACGTCGCGATGACGCCGGTGCTGGTTTCCAACACTGCGTGCCCAGACATCCCGGCACCTCGATTGTTTCGAGGCGCGGGCCCCCGACCTCTCGACCGCCTCCCCGGGACCGGCCTCTCGTCCCGAGCCGTCTTGTGGACGGTCCCCAGACCCCGTGAGGGTCCCGAGGGGCCGAAAGCTATGAGAAGCCTCCGTCTAGATTTTTTGCTCGAGTCGCCAGGATGTCTGGGTGGCTCCTTCAACCTTGCGCGATCGTGCCTGCCCAGCCGCGCAGCTCGTTCGACGTCGGCAGGGCCAGCCTGGACGCCCGCGCCGGGGTCGCCGCCGTGCCAGCACGGCGCGAGTCCACCACACGCCGACTCTACGACGACGGCATACAGATGGAAGGGGGCGAGGAGGACGAAGGAGGAGGAAGAGGAGGAGGACCAGTGTAAACCCAAGAGTCATCCACGATGTTGGAGTAAAGCCTCCCTCCAAGCTCCTTTTTCATGGGCCCCTAGAAAGGTTCATTTCTATTGGTGGAACTGCCTCGCTAGAAGACGCCCATTTTGAGACATGCCAAAACAGTGTTCTCGGGATTCCAACGCCACGGATCGACCCGACTGTTGCGTCTTGACGATCCTGAATCGTGCCAGAACGCCATTCCTGGAACTTCAACACAGCGAATCAACGTAACTGCTGCGCCCGCGTAGTCCTGAATCCCTTCAAAGCACCATTCCTGGTACGTTGATGATGGGAATCCGAGAAAGTCTTGCAATTTTTCAGAACGAATGTGCGCGGTGCTAAGGCGAGAGCCACATTTTGAAAAGGAAGCGCCCTCAATCCGAGAAACTCTTGCAAACCTTTATAAAACGATGTTGCGCCGCGCTAAGGCGAGAGCCACATTTTGGAAACCACCCGCCCTCAATTCGTGAAGGTCTTGTAAATTTCTAGAACGAATGTGCGCGGCGCGAAGGCGAGAGCCACATTTTGAAAACCACCTGCCCTCCATCTGTGAACATATTGCCAATGTTTAAGCTTCAGGGCCATAGATGGTGAGGAAGTCTCAGGCGAAACGCCCGGCCCGCCCTAAAAACTGGCCTCGGGGTGCGACAGGGAGAAGTTATTTATAAGGAAAAGGAATGGAGGAGGAGGAGGGGGATTGGGGCAATGGAGCGATGCCGAGGGCGCAGAAGAGAGTCTCGACTGGGCCTGGCAGAAAAGGCCGCGTGCCATATCATGCGTCCAGTGCACAGAGAGACACGTGCGCGCGCTCGCGCGCACAGCACAAGAACTTGCGCACACACGCGCGCGCACACTCAGGAAACTGACCCAGGAGGAGGAGGAGGACGAGGATGAGGGAAGAGGGGTGTTCTGAAGTTCTGCAAGGATTGGGGGGAGGTCCCGGAGGACCTCGGGGGCCTGGGGCTGTCGGAGGCCCCCTCGGAGATCTCGGAGACCCAGGCGCTCTCCCAAGACCGGGAGCGGGGGGGGCGCTGCAGAGCAAGAGCACCCGCGTGGCATCCGATCCCTCGCACACTCCAGAGATTAATTACTTGGAGCCGGCCTCGGCGTCAAGCTGGCCATCGCTCGGACAACCCTTCCCTGTGCTTTTTTGTTCGGTCTCGTGCGTGCTTTTTTTTTCTCGCGACATGATCAAGGATGCTCCTCTATGTCCTCCTCCTCCTCCTCCTCCTCCTCCTCCTCCTCCTATTCCTCCTCCTCCTCCTCTCTCCTCCTCCTCCTCCTCCTCCTCCTCCTCCTCCTCCTCCTCCCTCTATGGTCCTCGCCGCAGGAAAAATGCACACGTCCGAGCGACGTCAAGTCAGGCTGGCCCCGAGGCTGCTGCCTCCGCCCGAGCGGCCAGAGCACGTGCGGGGCCCCGCCAGGGCGGTACACCGGGCCCCGGGGGCCCCCAGAGGCGACGACGAAGGCGCGCCGTGGCCCAGCGCCGCACGACCTCAAGAAGCTCGCCGCCGCTCGCGGAGGGCGGGGGGTCCACGCATCCGACGTCTCGGAGGCATCAATGAAGGGGCCCCAGGACACACAAATAAATACACACAAATAAAAATATTCCCAATGTTTTCCCATGTTTTCTGGGTTCCTGTCTTCCCCCCCACTTCCCATATTTTCCCATACTTTCTGGGGGATCGAGGATTAATTGTGTCTGTGTGTTTCTTTTCCTCCTGATGTGTGTCCGCCGTTCTCGGATCCCAAGGGCGGTCACCGAGGCCCTGCGACCGTCAAAGAACGGCCCGGATGGAACGCCAGACCCTGCCAGCGGGGCGAGGCTTCCCAGGACTCCGCATCGAAGTGACCAAGCGAGGGCATCGGATGCCTGGGGAGGAGAGGAGACGGGGAGGGGGGAAAATCAGATCTGCGGGGGCAGCGCGGACACCTGCATGACATAGAAAAACTGAAGATTTGCACAAACACAGACATTCGAAGCTCCGCTCGACGCCAGGCGCGGCGCCAAGGGCGTCCAGCATGCATTTGTTTGTTGTGCTCCCGAAGAGGATACGGAAAAATTCGGCACAATGCCGAACAACGATTGTTGCCCAAATCCGACAGCAACCGCTGTTGGGCAGGCGCCCTCCTTCCTCATGTGAGCGACGATCAAAAACGGGTCTTACGCGAGATGGCACAGCGATCTTACGCCGCGGGTTACGTGGGCCGACAACGCGGCACGCCACATTCAAGACGAGGGCGTTTAAGCGCGACCTTACGCGGGCAGCTTACGCGCGAACGTCTGCGAAGACGACCCCGTTTTTTTTGCGCCGCTCAGATTAACAACGTCCGCGGCAGCACCGACAGCGACTCCTGTCCAAGAAGCACGGGAACTGCTGCTGCTGTGGGTGTCCGTCCCCGCTATCTCCGTACACCTACCGATCGTCGAGGCCTCCATTATGGGCTCCGAGCGCTACCGGCGACCTCGGCGGTGCATCGGCGACGCTGGCGTGAAGAAGGTCGGGCTCCGCATCCAGCCGCATCGCCGATACATTGTCGAAGTGGGGCTATCCTTCGACCCCCATCTGCTCTGGCCCCATCTGGGGGGCCCAGATTCGATCATACCGACGTTCTTCTTCGCCTCCTTCTTCGTCTTCTGCTTGTCATTTTGTCATATTCGTATTACAAATCATATGAGTACCATTAGTACGTTTTATAAGTCATACTGCTTTTCTTAATCGTATTTCTACTAGTATGAGTACGAGTGGTATTATCAATACGTTGGTTACCCTGAGTTTCTTAATAAGCGTGGGGGGGGGGCCTGACCCCCGCCGACAGCCCCACATCGACCCCCGTCGCGGGCAGCCACCAGGCGCCGAAGGCGCTCCGACCCCCGTCGCGGCGCGACCACGAGGCGAGGTTGACCTCCGTCGGGGTGGTACCCCCCCACGCTCATTAAGAAACTCGGAGTAATCTTCGTCTTCTTATTCTTCTCCTTCTTCTTCTTCTTCTTATTATTATTATTATTCTTATTTGTGCTCCTCTTCTTCTTCTTCTTTTTCCTCTTCTCCTTCGTCTTCTTCTGAAGGGGCCCAGGGGCACACGAAGAAATCGACACAAATAACAGGATTCCCCATATTTTCTGTATTTTCTAATATTTTCTGGGGAATCGACGATTAATCGTGTCTGTGATTTTTTCCCCCCTCCTGATCTTCTTCGCCCTCGCAGGACAGCCGCGGCGCCTGCGCGCCAGGTTGGCGCACCGAGCGCAGGGGCCGGCAGGCACGCAGCGTGGCGCCTCGCAGCGCCCTCGCGGGGGAGGGCCCCCAGGGTCCCCGGCAGGAGGCCCCGATCGAGGCCTCCCAGATGGGGTCCGAGTACCCTGACCTTCCGGAGAGCTATTTTTTAGCACTGGAGGCCTAAAAACCTGAAAACATTAAGTGAAACAGCTTCAAACCAAGACGTAGAATAGCTCTGGGATAGGTTTTTACGTCGGGTGTTATTTTTTGGCCCTCCTGGAAGGTCAGGGTAGACTCGGGGGCGCGCAAACGTGGATTGGCAATCCACAGGTCTGGCGCGCGGTCGCCAGATCCGTGGGTCGGGGGAGGTGCCCTCCCCAAGATGCGGCCGGACGCCGCCTCCTCCGGCGGCGGGAGTCCGCGATGCCCCTATGGAAACGGGACCCGTCGCTGATCCACGCCCCCATTGATCCATGTTTGCGATCGCCTAATAGATGGGGTCCGAGTAGATGGATGCGGTCGGAGAATCGCGCCACCGCTAATGCCTCGGCGACGTCGGAGATGCGTCGGCGACGCCGACGTGGAGAGAAGCGGGCTCCGCAGCGGGCCGCATCGCCGATGCCTCGCCGCTGCGGCGCCACATCCTCCGAAACCCATCTGCTCGGACCCCACCTCGGAGGCTTCAAGAACATAGGGGGCCTCGGAAGCGGCGCCAGGGGGGCGGAGGGGCTCGCGGACCGCTCGGGGAGTGTTCGGGGATCTTATTCTGACCCGGGTCCATCCAGACCCGGGTCCGTCGGGCCTTGCAGAATCCTGCAAGATCCTGCACCCAGACCCGGGTCAGTGCGCAGGATCCTGCAGGATCCTGCGCCCAAGCCAGGGGCCAGTGCGACCCTGGCCCTGCAGGACCCTGCAAGACTGGGCGCTCTGGCCGACCCCCGTTTGCATCGACCCCCGTCTCCTGAGCTCCGAGAGAGGTCAGGGTTGGACGCCCGAGTTATCCGGGGTAACTCGGGCCCGGGGCAACTCGGGTTCGGATTCCCGAAAAACGAACCCGAGTTAGCCCTGACCCGAATTATCCCTGATGATTTGGGGCTCTGGACGCCCGAGTTATCCGGGGTAACTCGGGCCCGGGGCAACTCGGGTTCGGATTCCCGAAAAACGAACCCGAGTTAGCCCTGACCCGAGTTACCCCTGATGACTCGGGTCTCTGACAGGGGCGGCAAGGCCCGGCTCGGCGGCCGACGCGGGGGGCTCGCGAAGGCAACGGGCCCGCAAGCACACACCCGGGCCGCCAGCTCCCATCCCCGCGCCAGGACCCACGCGCCTCGGCCACAGTGATTGTGAGGGCCTCCCCGACCGCGAACTCCTTGAAGACCTCCCCGTCAGCGTCCAAGACGACCTCGGCATCGGGGACGAGGAGGGTCTCCGGTGGAAGCGGAGGCTGGTCCCCTGGGCCTTTATGACTACCTACCAGACCACCCCAACCCAACCCGAAGACCCGAATTTCGGGTTGGGGGGGTAAGGGTTCCACATGTGTTTTTTCGATGTTTCCCGACCCCCCCTGGAAATCGAGGGTAAATCTGAGCCTTCGGGTTGGGTTGGGGTGGTTTGGTGGGTGGTGATTTACCCTGGGACCAGGTTTTCATCCCGAGGAGTTCTTGCTTGACGGCTCCGAGGCCCGTGGACAGGGCCCCGCGAGCCTGCAAGCGTCAGACAACTTCCACGACACCTTTCCTCCA